GTCATACCTTGTAGCCGTGCGACGAGAGCAAATCTTCCTAGTGTGCGTGCACGGACACACAACGCACATAATACAGTCAAATCTGTCCATAGTGGTCCCTCAAGATCACAAAGAAAAGTAACTTTTGGATAGACAGTTGTCTGCTTTTTGAAAGGTCTTTTTCGGTAAGTGTTTTACAGCGCTCGCTCCTGCATAAGTTCACAGACGCGCGCGGGACACATGAACCATTTTCAACTGGTAGGATATTGAATTTTGCACGGGTGGCGGCCGAAGGTCTGAATTATGGTGACCTACTTGACTTGACAAAGTTAACAATTGGTTTAAAATCTGAGATCTTAATCTTATCTTTCCATTTCATTCCATTAAAAAATTGTTTTCTTTCATAGATATTTGTGTTGATTTTTCGTACACACTCAGTCTGAACAAGGCAGACAACATAATGTGCAGCAAGCAAGTGATCGCTATGAGCTGGTTTTGAGGCTGACTTGAAGAGAAAATGACTGACACTGAGCCGCATTGAACAAGGACCACTACGTGCAGGTAAAAATATAGAATAGGCTCAAGGGGGTCACGGATCACGGGTCGTTAGTGCAGATGACCGTTAAGGAGAGGTGACTGCTCAGCAGGTTCGACTTTACAAAGAAAGCACTTTTTCTTACATTTTGGGGAAACAAAGTGAGTCTGGTAATCACATGCTCACGAAAACTCAAATTGACTTAAACTCACAGGGTGGAGACATGCTTTTAACTTTGAGGCTATTATTTGGCCCCTTTCAAGGTACATGTACATAATGACTGTTCACACCTCAAAAATGTTCGTTCTGCTCGCGTCTGCGAAGTATGGCGTAACTTGGCAGTGAAGAGAGACGACTGAGCGAAGACTACATTATTTCCATTCTTGCAGCCGTGTGACGAGTAGAATTAATATTCCTTGTGTGCGTGCCAGGACCTGTTGTGCAATAATAGCACGGACAATGTAGGTCAGTGTACGCCGACTTAGTGGAGTTAAAGGCGTTGACATACCTCCAGCGCCACTACGAGCTGCCCTGTTGTTGAGTTGTTGAACATTGTGGATAGATAGAGAGAGAGAGAGAGAGAGAGATAGAGATAGAGAGAGAGAGAGAGAGAGAGAGAGAGAGAGAGAGAGAGAGAGAGAGAAACTCCCTATACACCCCCCCCCACCCCTCTTAAAATCCCACAGACGTTTCAGAATGATACAGAAGGTCAATTTTACCATTATTCCTTAAACTCCTGCCACCTTAATCATTATATTGTATTAATATTTCAATGACCTTTTAAGCATAATAATTTCATATTGTCAGAATGTCATCGGGTTACGATCGTCTAACTGATGTCCCAAGCTCAATACTGTTATTGTTAATAAATTTAACAATTACTGTTCTTTTATAATTATTTTGCTTGAGAATGTGAGTCTGTTTGTGAGTGTCATTTTGCTAGATGTAGCTTATTATATCACCAGGAGCATGTTCATGCTTAACCCTATCCGTACGTCGTGTTTTTCTATCGTATCCATAAGACGTGCCACCACTTTCCAAAGAGGAAATTTACTCCTTAATCCGATCCGTACGCTTTGCATAGCAGTCTGTCAAAATATTTTTTTGAGAAATATTGAAAGTTTGAAAGAAATATTCGCACTAAAAGTATTCTAAAATGTGAAGAATACAACCCTGAGGGTACAAAATGACCTTAGGGCGTACGGATAGGGTTAAATATAACTTTATTGTTTTATCTGAGATGGAATATATAGTATTTCAATTTTGATACGGTCTTCTGAATGCTGTTTCTCTGTGTCTGAACTTCCTTTGTAAGTGTGTGTGCGTGTGTGTGTGTGTGTGTGTGT